AGGACGAATTAAGGTCTAAAGTTACTTAGTTATCTTTAAAGATTTATATCCTGCATCTTTATTATGGCCATGTATAGCGTTTTTAAACAGAAAACCATTACATAGTGTACCTTTAATTGCTGTGGTAAACTCAGTAGTAAACCTTTGTTATACTAGTTAACTTTTTCCATGTCTTTATTAACTTAAATAGCTTGCTTTGGTCATCATGAAAACACATGCAATCATAAAACAGAAAAGGTAATTTGGCTTGATGATTCAAACTGACTCAATCTTTTGCTTTGCTATTTGTCACTATATTTATTTAGTGTGAAAACCCTTACATTGCAGTTGTTTATGTGGCATCAAAATGAAGTGTGTTAAATTTAGGAATTGTTGGTTGCATTATTTCTTACCAATGATTAAAGCCAGTCGCACATTTGTAAATGCGCCTGTACTCATGTGGGTCAACAAGTGTAGCCAAACAAGTACTACTAACATTTTAACTGACTTGAGAGAGCCATAAAGCAAATGCATGTAGTGACCTGTGAACCACAAGAGGGCGCCATTGTGCTTCCACTCAGTCAGCAGAAGCTCTTTTGTTGCATTATAGGACCGCAATCTCTTCACAGCAAATCGCAATTTCAGAGCAAACGTAAAATTCCTGCTATTATTAGACAATAAGTAGCCCAGAAATACGCAACACACCCGCTCTGATTAATGATATACGCACCAGCACTACTAGCCAACCAACGGTCTTAAGTGGTGCAAACAAAATCATTATCACTAAATGCTAATAAATAGAAACTGTGTTCATAAAAGTGCATTTATAATAAAAAAGTGCATTCAATATAATCTGGTCAAAACCACTGAGATCAAGTAGACCCCCAGTACGCAGGCTAGGCTGTGATTGGCGCTGTGTTCACGCATGCGCATTGGGATATGACCATCAACAATCAAACTTGGGAATTCAGAATCAAAGTTGGAATTTCGCTATAATGCAACTCCATGGAAAGGTGTCGCATACAACTCTGAAAGGGGACCTTTTGGAATAGCAGATTGCTCGGCCTTTGAGGAGCCCACGTTTGTAAATTAATCCGGTACGTTTTTAGTTTTTCACTGTGAATAATCGAGTATTCCACTTATAACAGTCCGGTTTGAGGACTTGACCGTGTGTGTGTGTTTAAATAAAGGTTATCATAATGTGCCGGGTCGACAAAAAAATAGAAAACATTACGATCCGTCAACAATTAGTGGACGAGAATCTGAGAAAAAAAACTAATAAATGTCACCCAGGAAAGAAACGAAGCGAAATGATATAACGGATTTATCTATTTTGTTGAGTACGGCAGTAAACATGCGTAAACTTTCTGTTAATGTAGAATGCTGCCTGAACTAAAGATGCAACCACCAGCAAAAGGATTCAGCTCATTATGGTTGATTAGTTTCACATTAATGACTGTCTCAGTGCAGAGTCTTAGGTGGATGTGTGCAGTAAGGAATTAGCCTTTTTCCTCTTTCTGAAAAAAAAACATTAATTGTGTGGACAGCACCAAACATTTAATGTTGTCCATTTTTTTCCAGTTATTGATCAAGAGTATTAATTTAAATGTTTTGTTAGGGGGGGAAACACACAATTTGGGACATGCCCTGTCTTTATTTTTGCATATGGAAGTCTTTAAACATGTTATTTACACAGAGTTATTATCTCTACTTGTGTAATCAATAAGATGTTTTAAGAAATCAGTGGTTAACAATGTGGACGTAGAGCTCTCCTCTCTCTCACAACAAATGAGTTCCTCTTGATTCAAGACCTTGATTCAATCTGCTCGTCGCAGACCAGTTTATGTATACATTTGTTTTGTTGGCAAATGTCCAAGGGATAGCATCTGGTTAAAGAGACAGCAATGGCCAAACATCACGTGTGTGGCCATTAGCCAGATGTTTGGCCATTGCTGTCTCTTTAAGTCAGAATGGGACTATGCCCAAAGTACTGGTTTGCGGCCATATACCACGCTGGTTGCAGGCCATCCTCATTTGGGCATAGAACCTTTCTTAACTGACTGGTGAGCAATGAGAAAAAGCTAACCTCTGATTGGTGTGACTGTATGTAATAATGTATCCAAAGTTATCAGACAAGGATGGTAAATCCGTTCTGGCTGCCTTTTTGTGCTGCAATCCATCACCAGTTTATGCAAAAGTGGGATGTTGTAGTTTCGGCCAGGTATCCATAGACTTATCTAGTAATAACTGGCTGTGGATATCAATTTTTTTTTTTTAAACTTCCTTCTGACAATTTTTTGTTGCGGCTTAGGCTATTTAGAAAAATAGCTTTTTACACTTTCAAATTCCTCAAACAGTATATCCAGGGCAAATGTATTTCTAGTTAATCCTTTGATGCGCGTTAACACATCTCGTAGGCTAAAAGTGTATTGAAGATTTAGCTTAAATCTTGAGTGCGGTCAGAAAGTACTTTAATTAAAATTGCTTGGCCCTATCGTTGTATTTGTCTCATTATGTTTTTCTCTTAAGCAGAGTTGTTGTTATACCGTTTCCCTGTCAATTGTCCACACCCTATCATCACTGACGTTGTGTACCCGTAGCCACGTTGGTTTTGTACAGAACCCACTTTAGAGTTTTTGTCCTGAGGCCATTCCCTGCCATTTAGACTGACTTTCCCTACATATTGGCATTCCATACATACTTTTGAAGGAATACTCCTGCGTGGTGTATTTTGACCAATAGGACTTAGCCTTGGGTGCATGTCTTGGTCCAAAAGCAGTTTAGACACGACATTTCTACTTTAGTAGAATGTGAAACTTCTTTGTTTCATTTGATTCACTTGTTGTTGCATTGAATTGTATGTTCACATTTACAAACGCCTAATTGATGGAATTCCTGACTTGAATAATGTGCTTTATGTTCTCACTGAAACCTCTCTTTGACAAGGTCTTTGGCTTGCGTCACACATTCCAGTTGTAGTAGTAGAAGCTGGGAAGGCAACAGTCTCAACTGAAAGAAAAACATATCTCAAGCGTGTGACAGGAAGGGCTTCCTGACAGGACAATTCAAAGATCATCCTGAGTAAAGGGCAGTTTTGAACAGCAGCATTGTTCACTCTATAAACTAGCTTCTACTTTGTTCTGGGATACATTATAAACACGTGCCAATAATTTACACCACGCTTCAGAATACTTCTGTTCAGTCAACAGTGGCAGACAGTCATTTGTGCCTCACACCAAACAGCTACATATAAGTAGCCCCAGGACAACCCCCTGAAAAATGACCTTAGTTGCACCAATGTGTAGTTTTATTGATTTATTTAAAATGGCAGTAAATCTGTTTGGAAGAGGTCTTATTTGGAGATTTATTTTTTGTAACTACCATAACCTTTTTTTTTCTTTCCTTACTCTACTGTCTCCCCGTCACACACACACTTTTGGCTGTTATGTCTATGGAAAATCTGAAAGAAATCTCACCTTGGGTTTACTATCCCTGTGTCCATGTGACCGTGCCATACAAAGAGCTGTTTGTGTGCCAGGTCTAAAGAGCAGAGCCCACCATTAAGGCAGTGTGCTTGGCCTTCAGACAGGATGTCCTCTCCAAGTACTACTACCACCTTGCGTCACCCTAGTCATAACAGAAGAACCATTAGAAACACGAGTGAAACGTGCATGTGACTGAGCCAAGAGGTTTCAAAGGAGAAACTCCGGTCACTTGTGACTTCTCTTTCCCTCTTTCCGTGCTTGTAGTTGACTTTTGTTTTAGTTGTGAGTCATCACTTGATGTTGACTACAGTTCAATATAATAGTGTGTCTAAGCATGTAATAAAATGGACAAACCCTCTAATCAAGGCTATTTTCTGCTGTACAATTCATCCAACATCCATCATTTGAATATGGATTTGTGGCACAATGGAAAAGTAAGTTAGACTGTCTGTAGGATGTATGAGTTTCCTTTGTGCCATTTCTTCACTGCAAATAACCAATGCATTATTTTTATTATTATCACAGTCGACTGGACTGGTAGGTTTGTAACATAAGCGTGTGGCCGAAAAACCTACAGCGACTACATGAAGCTTTCAGGTCCAAAATCCACGCTGACAAGTTAGAATGGAAAAAAATACATGCTAAAGAGAAGGCACACGTGAATAGGTCAGTTTAGTTCTGAAGGACACATCTGTGCCACAGCTGCACGGCGTACCTATTGGAAATAGTGTCTGCACTGGTTGATCCTCATCAATGGGCCAGACGCTGTGCTTTCTTTTTAAATGAGACCCCCCTCCCCCTATCTATACATCTGGTTGATGTCAACCTACGCAAATAAAGCCAAATCACCTTTACACACTGAGCCAAAATGCAGCCCTGAGACAAACGGTTAGCCTCGCTATGGTCTCACTAATAATGATTCTATACGAACAGAAACACTAAAATGCATTAATTGAATGTTTTCTAGATATTTCTCTGCAGCATTAGTGGTTGTTTGAGGATTGATGAATATATTTATTTTGAACCAGGACCTAAAATATAACTATTTTTGGGATTCATATTATAACACACCCGGTTTGGTTAAAATATATTTATGCATATATGTTTTTACATCAGAGGTCATGTCAGTCACATAGCTGAACATTAACCATGTCTATTGTATTATTGTTGGTCACCAGCCACTGATCAAAACAGAGGTGGAGAATGGGTCAGTACCAACCCAGGGGCCCTGATCTCCAAAGAGCCCAAATTGATATTAGTAGTTATAGTCTTATGCTTTACATCACAAAGTAAATGTAGAATTGTATGAAATCCCTGGTTAATCAGTGGTAAAATTGCACAGGTACTACATTAAAAGTTTTATAAACTAGTTAATCAGGCCTGTCTGGTGAAACCGTGTGTGCATGCTTGTGTGACACTGAACATCTGGAGGAGATTTGATGGAATCCAGGGAGCCGGTGGTGGGTGTTACTCCTGCCAGAGGTCACGCAGGTCACAGAGATGTCTGTGTCGGGTACGGAACTACATATCTCACAAGGAGAATTTGGTAGCTCAGTGGTTGAGTGCATGCTCTGTATGTATGATGTCCAGGGTTCAATCCCCAGCTGCTCCCCGGGTCGCCGTTGCAAATGAGAATTTGTTCCCAAATGGCCTACCTGGTTAAATAAAGGTTAAGTAAAGGTTAAATAAAAAAATAAAGAGATAACGGCTGGAGGGAATTGCTGGTTTCAAAACAGCGCTGTCTGTGTAAACGCAAAGTATTGCCATTAACGGCAGACCAGACCTTACTTATTAAGGCTGCAGAGATAATCACGTGACTTTTAATATGGAGACTGGTTGTAAACATTCTTTGGGTGAATCTGCCTGCCAGGGTAATGGAACATTGTACACGTGGGGCACTTGGTTGTGATGCATTCTACTGGTTTCGTGGGTCATTGATTGGATGGGCTATGTGGAGGTAATCCTTGCTGCTCCTTTTGCAGATGCACAGATGTAGAATTGCTTCCAAAGGCTTATTTCACTTGTTAGTGTTGCTATTTGATAATGCACTCCTAACTCTCATTCATTAGGGTATTATTTCCATCACATGTTAACTGTGTAATTCACTAGTCAAGTGAGACTGCAATAATACCAGTATGCTGGCCAAGAATGTACAATTGCATTTGGTCTTTATTTACACTGCCCATTTTTGTTTTGATATAGTTGATGACATGGAATGTATTGTAACGCTGTCTGAGTGATTTTGTCATAGTGGCCCACGTTTGAATTCCGTAATGTTCATTGTACATTGTTAAAGAAATGACTGCTTGCCTGATCAACTCGTTTTATTTTTACTATTGCATGGGAGGAAACATTAAAGTTTACATTCTTAAATCTCCTGTTCCAGTTGGGAAAAGTGTCCCAAGTTTTGGGTTTCCCTTCAGTGTGGGAAAACAGCTGACCAAATAAAGTTAGCTTCCTCCATGGAGTGAGTGAGGGGTGGCTTTCCATTAGAAGGAAATACTTAGGAAGGGAAAAGCAATGGAAGGAGTCCTGTTCAAACCCGTGGGTAGTCTTTAGTCAGCAAATAGTCTTAATGTTGCTCAGATGCTTTTAGTTATCAGTTGGAATATCTATTTAACGTCAGTGCTTTCTGTGCCTTTTTAAGGACCTGGAAACATTCCAATTTAATTATATTTGCAGATTTATGATGCAGTAATTGTTTTTGATTTTGTCTTCCTAATCTTTTAAGATAATTTCTGGCACAATTTAACAATGTTCATTGAGGGATTGTTTTGGAAGATGGTTTATCATCTTTCCTGAAGTTATAAGCTAGGGAATCAAATGCCCTGAATTGTGCCCAGACTCAGTGATTAGTTGGGTGTAAATCTCTGACATTTGGGTGAACGAAAATTATGAAAATGTTTTAAGTGTTTTACCGAATAACTCACAACTTGAACTCCTCTACATTTTGGCTGTGGTTTATGGCACATCTAGAAGACAAGGTGAGGGATCTCTAATTTTAGTTTATGGCTGGACATTAATGTACGTATTTCCTATCCATCCAAGCTATTGGGCATTTTTCTTATATGATGCTTAGATAAATTCAGTCAGCAATATAGGCAAATTATCGCTCTACAAAGAAGTGAAGTGAATCCTATGGTTCAGAGGTGGGAATGTTTCGTTTGGAATTACAGTCACGACAACATTCCTGGTAGAAGTCTACCCTACCATGACTGGACTTTACCATGACTTTAGTGCTGGAGTGAGAAATCACTTATGGTTTTCCTCTCACATTGCTCATTATTGTGTTTATTCGCGGATTGTGGTTAATTAGTTATACCTCCCAATTCCATGGTGCTGATATTTTTGTGGTTGATAACAGGGGGACTGTTGAATTGTTTTGGCCTACATCATGGGTTCTTTTTCTGGCAGTATTTTATGTTCAAAACTCTACTTAAGGAATAAATGGCATAGACTGTTTTACCATTTTGCCTCGCACAGCTGATGAAGTTAAGCTATTTTCATGTATAGCGTAATTCTACAAACTGTTGTAGGTTAGAACTAGGGATGCACCGATGCATCGGCTGAACATCGGTATCGGCCGATATTTGCCTCGTTAACTGCCATCGGCCATCGGGAAATAAAAATGACATTCGCCGATGTTTATATGTGTCATGAACGCTGTGCTCAGGAGAAACTTTTTTTGGAGAGCTTGCTGGAACAAAAGCGCGCACTTGCTACATATGCTGCAGACTACGACCTCCCGGCCACTCTCACCAGTGGCAATTAATTGAAAACTTTAACACTCCTCTCCCCATTTGAACAATTGGCGAGAGAAGTTAGCTCATCAGAAGCATCAGCTTCGGGCAAGTAGATTGGTTTGTTTATATCAGGGCTTGAATTTCGGTGCGGGATTGCGGGGATTGCGCATAATTTAAACCATTCCCGCAAGGTTACTTTTTATAGTGCGAGATTCCCGCACAAATATATTTGCTTCATCTCAGACCGAGGTAAAGTTGGTTGGATATTCGATATTGGATATTCAACGGATATTCCGAGCCCGAGATCGGGTCCGGTTTTCCCGCAAGCAGCCGCCCCAGACAGCAGGTGACTCCGTGCCAGATCCGTTTCTAAACCGGCAAATCCGCGTTACAGTCACCTCCGGGACCCAGACTACAGGTGACTCGGAGCCGGATCCGTCTCTAAACCGGCAAATCCGCGTTAGTACACCCGGGTGATCGGCGGACAGAAACCTCCATGTGCTTATAGTTAGGGACCGTCAATAAAGTACAAGAGCCGAAAGACTTGTATGTTTCCGTGGCACAAAAGAAGGAATAAATAACAAAAATAAAAACATCGGCCATCGGCCAAATTGTTATGTTAAACATCGGTATCGGTATCGGTCCAGAATTTCCCAATCGGTGCATCCCTAGTTAGAACTTCTATTGCAGTTTTAAAGTTATGTGGCATAATTTACCTTTTGTAGTTTTAAAGCTAAGCCAAAATTCAGGGTCCGTTTTATAAAACCTCTGATGAAATTAGTTATGTTAATAAAGATACATTGTATTTTGTTTGTCGTTGTTCTCTCAATGTCTACTTACGTTGTCTATTTTGATTTAATCATTCTGGACCTATAGAGAATTTTCATGAAGCATGTGTTGGAGACTGACTCACCTAATATAAAGAGTGAGCAGAATTTGTAGAGATGGCTCGTTACATCTTGCAACTGGAAAGACAGTCATTGGCTTCAGTCTTGACCATTATTCTATCTACTTTCACTAAAATGTACCAGAGAAATCACAATGTCTGCAAACAAGTAATTAGGCTCCAATTTCCTGTTTGAATGGCCAATGAAAGCTGATCATGAATAAAAACAGATTATTTTACCTAATGTTTTCTATGATCGGTGCCTTTTATTACATATAGTCTAAAATAATCCTCACTGTTTCTTAGTCTGTGTGTGTGTGGTGTGTGTGTGTGTGGTGTGTGTGAAGCTTTAAGCTCTTAATTGCACACAGGTCCTGTGAAGTTTTTCGTGACGTAGCCTATTTCATTTGTAGACTATATGAACTGCATGTTTTGCAAATTTATGATGGGCGGTGCATGCAACATACCAAACCGAAATGGTATTAACACAGTTCAGATGTTCAATTTATGGCAAGTTTAACTTAACATAAATGAAATCCGGGCTTATATGGTAAGGCTACATACCCTTAACACAATGCACATTTCTTATTGGTTCTGGGGTAAATGTAGGTTTAAGTTAGGGTGTTAGTTTGAAATGGTTTTAATATGAAATTGTTTTGATATTGTCCCAGGAAAATGTGTCTCAGGGTAATGTGACAGCAGCATTTTTTCCTTTCCCGGACATTTAATAAATGTACCGGGCTTATACGCTTTCAACGAAATGAAAACATTACTACATTTGGTTGTTTAAAAATTTTGCCCAACATGTTTATACGATAAAGTATAGAAACAAATCTTGATGATAGGTTTTATTAAAGCAAAATATTGCGTATTATTCACTAAGTAATATTCCAATCGATAAATACACCAGTAATACATTCAGGGCAGGCTTGTGGGACATCAGCCCAATAAATAACAAAACCAAAATCTAAACCCTGACGGTGTTCCTGGATATCTACTTGCCGGTATGTTCTCTCAACTCCATTACTATTTCAGCACAAATTATTCTAATAATTAACTTGAATATATTAGGAAACTAAATCGGGCCAGTCTTCAAAGGCGTTGAATGTAATTAATGTTGTATACAGCCGCAGAGACATTTTGCCCAGTGGAAAATGAACCTGATAATTCTATATAAACCAGGTGCGGCGCCCCGATCCGGTTGTTTTCGGAGCTCCAGACCCCCACGCTTTTTGGTGCGTTCAGGATTGCGATCAGGATCTTAATGTGGTTGGTGCTACGAAACGCGCACCACCGAATAAGTGATTCCCCCCCACTGCGCACACTTCCGCTTACTTAGAATATCAACAGAGCTTTTTGAAAGCATTTGCGGCCTGAACAGGCCCACTCGAAGTGAAATAGTTCTGTGAGTAAATCGCAACTGCACACCTCTTTTGAGCAGTTTGCAAAGCAACGCTCCGTTTCTCCCAAATAAACGATTCAAGTGCATTTTTATTCGGTTTTGTGATCCTAAAAATCCGATAAACTCTTAAGTTATCTACCGCCAATCCTCGCACATATTTTAAGGACACAAAACGATACACCCAATAACAAAAAACAATGCATTATTTTGCTTTTGTAGACTTTTACTAAAAAGATCCACATATTGCCTGTTTGTGACCGTGAAGGAATGCATCTCACTGATTGGATGGAAACACTGTTAATGATTTCTTTGAAAGCCCATCTTACTTGCATTGTAGATTGAGTTTCAAGTTACTAATCTTTATTTATCCTGGTCACGTACTTTTAGATTCACGCTGGGAGGATGAGTATGATGTCTGATGCCAGCGAAATGTTGGCAGCTGCGTTGGAGCAAATGGATGGGATCATAGCAGGTAAAACCAGTACACCCACACATTTTATTTCTGGTTCAATCATTATAAATGACACTTTCCACATGTGTACCTTTATGCCCTGGGTTTCCATTCCAAGCGGTTGGTGACT